TAGGGCCGGTGTAGGTACGGAAGAGGGATTGTTCCACGTAACCTACAAAGAGGCAGGCGTAGCTTGGGCCCATGCGGGTACCCATGGCCACCCCTTTTGTCTGTAGGCAGTGGGAGGAATTGAAAGAGAAGTTGTTGAAAGTATGTTTGTTCTGTCCACTGTTGTATAAGGTAATCGATGTGAAGGAGTTAATGTTCATGTTACTTTGAACTCTACACAGACGACTCACTAGCACTTTCTCAAGGGCGATTAGGGGACAGGCAATAAGTACTGGCCAGCCTGCATTGCCCACATTCTATGAGAAAATTTTTAAAAATTGTGTAATATCACAGTTTCTGGGTGGAGACAGTTGAGTTTTGCAAACGATGCCAGCTTATTAATGTAGACTGTACCTATTGCTATTACATAATAAACCACCTTACTGTGCATGATAAGCACCTCTTCTGCTTAGACTGGTGTGGTCTATGCTGTACTGTTGATAATTAGACAGACCTTCAATTCAGTATAAAGATGCATTGGTGGCGGTGAAGTATCCAAACCAGAATACCGTAGCTGGCAGTTTTTTTTAAAATTTGCTCATGGGAGTTGGATTTTGCCACCTCGGCCAGCATTTATTGCCGATACGCAATTGTCTAAAGATGGAAATGAGCTACCTTCGTGAAGCATTGTAATCCTGGAGGTATGGGGCACCCACAGTGGTGTAAGCAAGGGAGTTTTAGGATTTTGACCTAGCAATATAAAAAGGAACAGTGATATAGTTCCAAGTTAGGATGGTGTGTATCTTGGAAGAGAACTTGCATGTTGTGATGTTCCCATGCATGCCCTTTTAGATGGTAGAATTGCAGGTTTGGAATGATAGGATTCTTCATGAGAAATTGCAGTGCATTTTGTAAATGGTACACAGTGCTACCAATGTGTGTTGTTGGAGGGATTGAATGTTGAAAGGTGTTGGATAGAATGGCAAACAAGTGGAATACTTTGTCCTGAGTGATATCAATCACCTTGAGTGTTGTTGGAGCTGCACCCGCGTAGACAAGTGAAACATAACTTACTGCCAATGTAGTATTGTGAAAGGTTAGGTCAGGAAGAGAAAACACAGAAATTAATAGTCAAATAAATGTCGCAAAGCTACAGGGGATGGTAGAACTGGAATGTGCATATTACAATCAAATGATTTAAGATTGGAACCAGACTAGCTCCACTAAACACAGTAGAAAGAAAGATAATCACCCTGACACACACAAAGGATGACACGGTTTTGAAATTTTATTAGGGTCTGAGCAATCTGGGCTATGCAAGATGAGTGATGAAATTAATTGAAATGTTCTGGGAGTCATATCTCAAACTCCAGAAGACTATTTGTAGGAGCAGAAGCAGACCATTCAGCCGATTACATCTGCTCCGCCATTTAATGAGATCATCACCGATCTGATCATCCTCAACTCCACTCCATAACCCTTTGCTCGCCTTACCTTACTTATTAAAAATGTCTATCTCAGCTCTGAATATACATACAGCGTACTCCTGTTCCAATTTCTTCTGATCATATAGCTCCAGATCACATTATAGCTTTGGTCCAAACATAGAGAAAAGTGACTTCAATTTTACTACGATTCTTTAGTCTGAAGTGGGAATTGGAGGAAATCTCAGTGCTGGTTAGACTCACAAATGTTGTACTTATAAGACGCCAACTGTTTCATCCAGATAAGTACCTCAGCGCAGTATCCTAAAGGCAACCATTCTCGGCTGCCTCAGCAATGGTTTCCCCTCCAATATGTGGTCAGAAATGGGGATGTTTGCTGATGATTGCAATTTTCAGTTCCATTTGTAACCTTTCAGACAATAATATAGTTCATGCCATATGCAGCAAGACTTGGACAACAGGCAGATTTGGCTTAATCTGTAGCAAACAACTCATATAACTTAAGTGCAAGGCAATGACCATCTAAAATAAAAGTCAAATACCTCCCCTTGGCATTCAACAACATTATCACCACCAAGTCCTCCACAATTAACATTCAATGGGTTACCACTGGCCAAAAATCTAACTAAACTAGCTATAGGAACATTGTGATTATAAAAGCAGGTAAGATTGTGGAGAGTGATTCACTTCCTGATCAATGTTCTAACTTCTGTTTGCTGCGCACAGCCAACTTCTCACACTGCACAATTTCTAAGATTGATGAGTGGCCACATAGCATACCTGCACCTTGAAGGGAATGTTAATTTTGCAAAGTCCATTTTGTTCTCTGCCTGGACATTTCTGATTGTTGCATGGCCACATTCCTACACAAGTCTTTCTCCATCTACAAGGCACAAGTCAAGAAGCTCAACACCATCCAAGACAAAGCAACCGGCTTGATTAGCACCATAGCCACCACCTGAAACATTAATTCACCAATGCACAGTGTCGACAGAATAGCCCATCTACAAGATGTGCTGCAGAAACCCGTCAAGCCTTACTGGCAGCATCTGAGAAACTCAGGATCTCCATTGCTTTTATCCTAATAGACAATAGGCTGACAGGAAGACCATCATTTGCAAGTTTCCTGCCAAATCACACACTATTCTGGCTTGGAAATATATCACACTTCCTTTGTTATCACTGGGTCAAAGTCCTAACAAGCTTGGCTTAAGTTTGAAAAATTAGATCACTCATTTGATTTTTTTCCTAAAATATGTATTTATTTAAAAGTCAAAAAATTGATGAAGAACAATGTTTAAAACACCAGACAGCATCCAAATCCATCATGTACAAGTAAGGTAAGCTACACTTATTTACAGATCTAAAGTTCTGATCACGATTAAAATGCTGGTCATTCATTGCTGGTTGTGTGGCACGTTCACAACTGTCAGGCCTTGTAAGTGAGAGGATAGATGAACGTTACAACTTCAATCTGATAACAAACAATGACTCCAAGATTAAAGCAGTACACAAAGACAACTCAAATTATACATCAGCAAATTAGGGTTCACATCTTATTTCATATGAAGGAAAGTACAATAATTTCAATTTCTATAATAAACAACCCTGCATTTTATGAATCAAATTTTATGAGTTGGTGTTAAAACAACAAGGAATAATGTCAAAGTATGGTCATCACATTTGTTGAAGAATTGTAAACAAGATAAATTAGGTTAAAGTTCATATTCGTTACATAACCCAAGTGGTACATGAACATGTGGACTTTGTGCAGTATGAATACTGAAAATCCTGACCAAAAACTTTATCTGAAACAAGTTTAGGCTGGAAATGTTCTGAAAGGTAAGAACAGAAATAGATGAAGGGAACTTCTTCATTATACTGGGAAACAGCTGCCAAAAAATATTCACATCAATTTTAACGCAATGATCTTCACCACAGGAAGAGCGGCTGTACATGATAAGTCTCTTCATTTGGTGATGTCAGATATAAACAGTCACACAGCAATAGAAATGCAAGCTCTTGTCAGAAATCATAGCTGAATTGACAGTCTTTTTTTTCCAGTAATTGTCTTCTGATACATTAGAGTAAGGAAACGCAGCAATCGAAATGTGATCGAGTATTTCAGGTAACAGTTCTTTGTAAAGTGTTCCACTATTCACAATAAAATTGAATCTATAATGCTACTAATAAAATGATACAGCACAACATTGTTCATCATTGGTGAGATTTTTAGGTCACTTCTGAATAAGATCTCTTAAGCCAAGGTGTAAAACTTTGTAACACTTCAATCTCAAACTTGTACTTCTTAAACTTGACTATTCAACCAAGTAAAATTATAATAAAGTGTTATCAGTGGAAAAATGGGAAAGCAGGATTGTTTAAAAGAAGGTTGTGTTATTGCTACGTACCAGTATATTTTCAATAACATTGCCTCTTTGTCTAGACGTAAAGTGAAATCGCACGAAAGATATCATGCTCACAAGAACAGGCAATCTGCTGGTTGTATATTTATGGCCTACTATTGCAACAGGTGCTTTTCTCTTGTGTTGTCACATGCACACTGAAAGTAAAGTGACCTGAAAATTGGTAGAAATCAACTCAACACTTAGTAATTCTTATAGGTCACAAGGATGTTTAGATTCGTTTATGGCGGAATTAGTTATATCTCAATTACACAGCAGTGCAAATTCAACAATATTAGGCAGAGGATTCATTGTTGCAATATGGGACAAGATTTGAGAAATGTAGGAGAAGGAATGAAGGAGAAAGTTTAGGTATGTAAGTGAAGTGTTTCCCCACAATTTATGGACCAGTATTTCATGAAAACTGACCACCGAATAACTGAAGATGAAAAAGGATGTATTTCCAGTTATTTAGAGGCAGACTTTATGTATGTGAAATTGCAGTAGTACGCTGAATTCAGAACGAAGCCTCACTATCTTCTTGTACTGACAGTTACAACTGACAACCTAGTGGAGCTCTAATGTGTATTATATTAAATGTTAAATTTATCCAGTTTATTACTTCTACATCTGTGAAGAGAGAGATATTGTTGAGTTTTAGTCTTGCACTCACCAGGACAAATGCAAGAATGTCAAATTTACATTTCTGGTCCACCTTTTCCAATGATTAAAATGAATATTAAAGATTGCATTAAAGAGCACAATGAACCCCATTATTATGGCCAAGATTCCTCCAATTAACAGTATAATATTTGATTAATGGATTCAAAAGCAAAAAGGTTTGGATTCTAGTCTTTGTGGTTAGAATGAAGCAGCAATAGCAGTTGAAGTGAATAGCAAAAATGTATTTAAGATGATGCCAGACAAACAAATGAAGGAGAAAGGCATAATAAAATGAAAAACTGTGGATGCTGGGAGTCCGAAACACGAACAGAAATTGCTAGAGAAACTCAGGTCTGGCAGCATTTGTGGAGAGGAAAGAGTTAATGTTTTGTGTCCAGTGACTCTTCTTCAGCACTGAAAAAAGAACTTCCATTCTTCTACACACATTTTTCATCTGCTTTGTACAATCATTATGGCAGACAAAAGGTTCAAAAAGGATTTTCCGCACAGCAACACAAATTATATTGAACTGACAACCAGGAAAGGAAACATAACAACCTCTTTCTAGTAATTAATATTCTCCATTGAATTCTGAAGTCAAATAATGGAATTTATTTCAGGATACTACTTTTGTTTTCATCCTCTGCCAGCTGGAAATTGTGCCTTCATCCTGTTATCAGCTGTTGGTGTGGTATTAACTACAATTGTCAGCAAATGCAACATGAAGCAAAAGTTCAGTATAAAATTCTAGCCCCTTTCTCCCCCCACTTCATACATTAACAAATTAAATTCCAATCAAATTCACATATTGGACAATAAATAAGAATTAACAAATAACCACTACAAAAATCAAGAATGTGATTTACTACTGTTAATACTATTGTGCATATTATCAGAAAGCTATGTGACACAAATATAAAATAGCAGCCTTTAATGTTTTAATTATGGGAGAACTTGAAACTTTTTTAAAAAAAAAGGTGATAAATTTTGACAACTCACAAGCACAAATCCTTTCAAGTGTCATGAACTGTATATATGCTGTCCCGTGCAGAAATCCACTGTCTCACACAACGGTCAAAAATTAACAGGCGTGAGATGATCTAAGATTATAGAACAATGTGAAAATCCAAGTAGTAAGTCCTACAGAGTAGCTTCTGCCACACCGATATGGAAAATTACTGCCAGGACTTTTGGGTAAACCCTGTAGAATCTACAGCACCATGAAATACTCAGCATTTGGAAGAAAAACATTCAAATATAAATGATAGCAGATATACAGGGGTGAACATTGGTCAGGACACTTAGTATTTATGTCAAGCTTCTTCCTTACAAAGGGAATTCACATCCTTGTCATTTCTGATTTGCACATGGAACATACGACAGAAAACTGATCAATTATCTAATTCATTCCTCAAGATGTTGCCTTATAAGTAAATGTATGATGAAGCAGAAATAATTATGTACAGAATGGATGGTAATTTGTAACAAAGCTGTGAATTTTTTTTTGGGTAATTTCTTACCTCATCAACTAACTGTCCAGCTAGCTTTATTATAGAACTGAAATGTCTCATCGACTGATACGATCAAACATTATCTTGCGCACACAATGTAAATATGGTAATCACATATTTCCTTGCTTCACTGTGCCATAATTCAGCTAAGCAGTCTTAAGTTGTTCCGAAGTTGATAATATAAAAGCACAGTTTCAATACATTTGTATATACTCAAAAACATATATATTGTGTCAATCCTATTTTTAAAAAAAAGTCTTGCCCTCTCTGTTAAAATCAAGTAAAATGCCTCAACTTCGTTAGAAACTAATGTTTGCATGAATGTTCCAATACATTGGTCAGACAAAATATCAATTTGTGGAACTAAGATATGCTTCAATCTCTTTTCACCAACCTAAACAAGGACCTGGAACACAACATCAATTTGAATTTTTCATTTAACAGGCCAGTAAAAAAAAAAACTGAGGCCCTCATTCTACAGATTAATGGAGATAAACTGTCAGTTTAAGAATAAGATTCAGTCTGGCTACCTGGGTAGCAAAAAGGATCTAATTATGACAACTAAGTTTAGAAAGGGAAAAAGAAACACATTTAAGGTCAATAAAATCCCTAAGTTTTAACAGTTGTTATGGAGGATATTCAGCCAACTTTTAAGAAAATGAATGATCAGTTACATACTTAAAATTGCATTTTACTTTATTAAAGACTTGGGCTAATTGAAAGCACTAGAAATTTTTGAGTTTGGTCTTAATGTACTGAAAATAAATCAGTCAGTCCAAAACACGCACTGTGAAAGCAAAAAGAATGGAGCTTCCTTTCTGGTGTCAGCACATTATGTTACTGTTTTATGGAAACAGGACATATAGTCCAAAACACATGTAAACTGTTAAAATTTAACACCTTTGTTTTGAAAAAAGGTTGAGTTCTCCTTAATAACTTCATCATACCATCACTTAAAGAGAAAATAGAATTAAACTTCAATGATCACAAAACTAACTTTGAAAATAAATTGAATAACAGGCTATAAAAACACAATTACTAATATGGACAGCACTCTTCCTGCATTATATGGGATAGCTGCCCCATAATGGCAGCATGTACCTCTCTTTGATGCAAACTCTGAGGTAAAAGCACACTAATAAAGTTGTGGCACAAAGGTGGTTTCATCACATATAAAAACAGAATGTGCTAGATAAAGTCAGCAGGTCTGATAGCATCTGTGGACAGAGAAAGCATTAACATTTCAAGTCCAATATTACCCTACTTCAGTAGTTTTATCACCATTTCTACCTTTCTGAATTGATGTGAATTCTTTATGTATGTAAATTGAAACTTTTTTGCATCATTTAGAATAGACTACTTATATTCAACTATGTCACAATTAAACTATGAATTTATTAGATAATCAGGTGAAATGAAATAGATGCTGCAGTTAAAATATGAGTGATTCAGGAAATCTGTTTGGCCAGTATTGCAGTGTGAACACTAGTGCCAACAGCCATAAAATGTATTAGTCATCATTTCTACAAAACCTGGTATTTCCTTTGGCTTATGCTTATTCCAATTCAGTAACAGCATCAAAATGCACACATTTTAATAACATGTGGTGCACAGCATTAAGTACAAAATATAACTTCTTGGGATTTGTGCTTTTGAGTAATGCCATAAATGAGGCAGTTAGTGGTGTATTTGGACTGACTTTTAAGCTTCCTATTTTCAGAAAATGGTTAGTTACTAACGCTAAAGTATCCATGCTACATCACAGTAAAACTAATGAATCAGAAAGCAATGTTTTATGGTGAGAAGTTTGGTACAGATAAGGAAATGCTGACACCACACAGCGTGCAGGTTAACTTTTCTCTGAAACTCTACAAGTGCTCTTTGTGAAATGGGCTGCCAGTTCAGAAAAAAATCATGGCATCAAATCAGCATACTTAAACAGATTAAATCAACAATCCTGATGATAAGGGTGGCAGGTGGGAATTAGGCTTGAAGTTTACTGCATTGTTGTGTGATATTGGATCAAGAATCTGCTCCTGATCCAGGCTGAGAAAGATGATGAGCGGAGAGGTGTGTTGGAGTGGGGAGTGTGAGGTGAAGGGCTGTTGTTGAAGAGGCATGAGGAAGGGAACAGATTGGGTGAAGGGGTGGTGGTGACTGAGGTAGCAAGGGGTGCAGGTGTTGAAGGCAGCAGAGGTCATTGATATGCAAGAGATGTGGGAAAGGCACTGCACTCCCTTGCAAACTCTGAAAGATCTCCAGTTTAGAGGTCAGCTCATCAAAGTTCTCAATCTCCAGTTTTCCAAAAGAAGCACGGAATTGGGTATGATTGAACATCAGGGAACAAGTAAAGTCAAAAGGAATGAATAATTAATTACATGTTTAATCAATGCTATAAAATAAAAAAGAAATTACAAGAGTTGTGCATCTCACAACTAAAAATGAATAAAATTTTTCAGATGTAGCAAGAGGCTTGAAACTGCCATCGTTATCAATTTCAACTGCACTCATTTGCCTGCACTTTTTTCTTCGTGTGTGCATCATTAACATTCTCTAGTTAAAACCATTATTTTGAATTCCACACCAGTGCAGCACTCTATTTTCAGATGAATCAGCAAGTTTTCCATTGTGCACATGCACAGTGCAAAGATATCATCGGTTTGATACGTGCACACCCTGTGCTGATGACATAACGACACCAAACACAATGATATTGTCTGTAGGGTCTCTGCATGTATGACACCGTTGTGGCACTGGCAATTGTGCATTGCAAACATTTGCGGGGGTTCAACAGTCAGATCCTTAGCAAGTCAAACAGCAATTTATTCAATACTGTTAGAATGTGGGCCAGTTCTAACTGCACTTATGGAATCTGGTGCTAGAAGTAAGTTCAGTTTGAAATCCCTTAATTAGCCAAAGTGCAGCGAATGAGGTCAGTATATTCACAATCAAAATTCTGGAACTCTCTAGTAGCACTGGAAGTGTGCCTATACCATATGGACTGCAATGGTTCAAAAAGGCAACTCACCAAAATCGTCCCAAGGGCAATTTGGGATGGCCGATAAATGCTGGTCTAACCTGATATACTCATTCTTCGAATTAATAAAGAGGATACAAGTCCAAATAACCATTTGGGAATATTATAGGTGACCAAATGTTGTCCTGGACATCCTGGAATTTTGTTGCCTGTTCTGCATCTCTGGCTAAAGATTCTGGTATGCCATATCACCTGGATTTATTTTGCTTCTGTGTACAGGTAACAGCCTGGGGTGAAGATGGGAGAAGGATTCCAGACAGTTTTGAAAGGGATTTGGGGATTTGGTCGGATACTAGGGGCATGAAAATCTCCTAGCCTGATAACCCCATCACTGTGGTGACTGGAATGAGGTCAACCAGGTGGATCTCACAGAATGAGTTCCCTCATAGGGCTGTTAACCTGGTCCAACCAGGGAGTCCTGGCTGACAGATATAAACAGGAGCATCAGGGGTTCTGTTCACTTAGGAATTGACTTTGCATCAGCGTCATGTACTATGCAAGTGTAAATAAAGGGTGACTTGGTGACGGGATACCGGCCTTCATGGAGTTATTTCAGTCACCACCACTCCTTCCCTCATTCTCAAGAGAAACACCACTCTGAAAGACTTAGAAGCATCACCCAATCACACACTGGCACAGTATGCATTATTCCCCCACCCCATGGCCTCCAGAGTTAGATGCTCCAGAATATGATATAGGTTAAATAATGGAAATGTGGTGTAAAATTGGCGAGGACAGAAAGCTTAAACATCATGCATACAAGGGAGTGAATTTCCTGTTGCCCATGCTCCCACATTAATGTTGATCTGTCTCTCTACACCTTCTCAACAATTGTAATATTGTATCCTGTGCTTTGTTCTGTTAACCTGATGCACATGTAGAGCACGATCTGCCTGTAAGCATGTAAGACAACACTTTTCACTACACCTTGGTACATGTGACAGTGATAAATCAAATCAAATCAGACTGTCCAACTGAACTCACAAATGCATTATGCATAGTTTATCTACTGTCTTACCTTCCATTGTTTAAATTTTTGGTAGTACAGAACACAAATATTGCTAAAGGTTGTCATCTTGCATGCATCAGGACAATTTACAAAGAAAGGGAAAAGAACATTTATAATTTCTGGGAAGAGTCCTGATTTGGTTGTCAGTAGATTCTGATTGGTAAAGGCATATCCATGAAGTTAATGACAACTGACAGTTAACTGCGAACCTCTGTTCAAATTTTAAACAGGCCAGGATAACTGATTAATTGAGGAATTGCCTGAAAATAGCTGTCACCTATTTTGTTCAGTTCAAACTGAGGCAGTTTCCGTATGTGTTCTTTCTGTCTCCAAAGAACAGGGCCCTGTGCATTAATATATGTAATTATCACTACACGTAACAATGTCACATCTTGAGTCTGGCTGACCATCTCAACTTGGTTGACATTATAATTTTTTGCACACTCAGACTGATGAAGCAAATGTTATCCAATCATGGAATCACATCCAAAGTTAGACATTGTGCTATGAATTTTACGAGTACAGACTGGTTGGTTACAAGTCAGCATCTTTCTTGTTGTGGACAGCTGAAGGAATATACTGCCTGATATGATCCAATTGTCATTTGCTTGTATTTCTAGCATTGCGATGGCACAGAAACTCCTTTCACTTTACTCATTTACATTGTATGCAGAATGTCATTTTGGCTGGAGACAGCTAATGTTGCTGCAGAATGGTATTTCTTGCAAATTCTTAGAAATAATCAGTGCAAGATTAGAAGCTTTGACAAAATATGTTTCTTCAGAAATTTCCATTGTTTCTCAGCTATGAATATCTTGTACTCTGTGAGCATCACTTCCTGATCAGCTCAAACAAAAAGTCCTCAATAAATCTGTATCATTTCAGTTTTTAAAAATATAATATTATTAGCAGCGTTACTCAAAAATGTTTATTGATGCCAAAATTTTCTGAATTAACGTTCGGTTACCAATGGCTGTTGGCACATAGCATTACTTAAGTGCAGGAGAGGTACCTGATGCCATTCAAACTGGTATTGGCTCTTACGCAAGAACAAACATTGTTAAGACTTTCCCATTCTTCCCAGCTTCAGCAAGAAGAATGCAAAGTAAACAAGGCTAGTTACAGAAACTGTAACTGTCATTTACTTGGTCCTGAAAACTGACCTTTCAGTGTCAAAACTAGATTTTTCCCTTAAATAAAGATCATTCAACCTGCACACAAATACAATACACATTGTTTAAAAACTACTCAACATTATTTCCAGAAGTAAATTTTCCTAAGTTTTACAAATATATACTTGTGAAAATGAAGGGGGTTTTGTTTTCAATATTAGATAACAGACTATTTTGATAGAAGAATAGAGAACTTCTGTGGATGTACCTCAAGACAATGACATCACAAACAATACTGAATGTTATTTAATCACAGTTTCTAATTAGTGCCTCAACTCATCTATTGCAGCTTAACATTTATAAAACTATTTACTGTACAATAAGCTGAAAGCAACATTTCTTTTTGAAAGTATTTTCAACAGATTTTGTTCTTGATGTCATTATTTTTCTTTTTTTTTTACAAAACTTGAAATATAAACTGTACAGATTAACATTAATCTATGCTACACTGCCTCTACAAGAGTTCAACATATAACTGAAGTGTAGGTTTGTATACATTCGAACAATGCAGTGACTTCAAAAACAGTTCTCTAAATTTACAAAATATATCTGTAACATCACAATATGTAACTTCAGTTAAATCAGGTTAAACATCAGCAGTAAGAGACTGTACTGCAATTAATTAAAAGGCTTTGTGCTGATCATACATCATCAGCTGGTAGTGGAATGATACCTCCCTTGCCTCGTGTAAAAAATGCCATCTTCTCCCTGTAAGAACATGGACAATTCACAATCAAAAATATTGCTAATAAATGAAAATAATTTGTATTGGCCTGTTCAGTAGCATGCTTGATACCACTTCTATGTAAATTGCAAATACAGATGTAACTGACTCGGAATTGCAACTGTTCAATGCAAGTACAGCACAGCTTGAATGGTAAAAAGAAAACAGACAGCACTTAAACAGATATTACCAAAGGATTAAGAGGAGCAGATTGATGTCCTGACAATTTACCTATGAGCTACTAATCCTTGCCGGGCAGCAGTGAAAAACACACCAAGGAGAGCTTGGCACTATCTGAGGATGGAGGGGTGAACTAAGAACAAAAATGGGAATTTAGCTACTGAATCACACTTCTGCAACCCTTAACCACTAGTACAAAACTTCAGTGCTAGATCAGGTGTTGTCTGGAAAGACATGGGCACAGAGAAGAAAGCAATTAATCTGAAAAAAGGAAAACACCACTGCTTAACGCAGCAGGTGAAACAATTCCCGCTGTGCTATTTATAACTCACCAGAATGATTGCATCTCTAGGGGCTCTTCTCGTAACTTGTTCACCTCTTTTGATGTTTTCTTCATAAGCCTTTGAACTTTGCTCTCATGTTTCTGTTGTTCTTTTGTTTGCTCCGCCTGATGTAATGAGAAAATAACACTTTCTAACTTATTTCGTTTAAATTGTCCTGCATTATATCCATGTAAGTTGCACTACATTCATCAATAAGATTCTTAAAAACAGTGGTCTCAGTCTGACAGCAATTGCATGACAAAGATCTAACAGTTACAATTCATTTATGAAAATCTTAGTAAGCAGCAATTTTCCATGGTTTCTGTTAACCCTATTATTCCAGATGGATGAAATAAAAATATTCTTGAAATTTAAAAATGTCTATCTGGTAATTCTTGCGCAAAACAATCCCAAGGGAAAAATGTATCGAAAGGAATCATTAACCTATATTCTATATATTAAAGTTCTGGTCACCATTCAGACTTTACCATATATTCAAAAAAAACAATTTCCAAAAGACAACCTCACACTTTCTACAAACTGACCTTGTGTCCAAATTCAATGCTTGCGCCCATGTAAATAGCAGTGATCAGACCGAGTTTTCTGGGTACTGGAGGAGGGTGCTTCATGACAGTGGCTACTTTGGAGGACAGGCAGCGAGGGAAAATCAGCTTGGGGAGAGGCTATAGCATGCTGTGATTGTTGTGATAATGGCCTATCAATATTCAACTTCCATCATTTGACTTTAATACTGAGGCTTTCACGGAGTAAAACTGTTTGTAAAAAAGGATAGTACTGATCTAAAATGGCTGCAGTGATCAGTTGACAAAAGCGCAAGGAACCCACATGGAATACATAAAATCAGGTTGTATTGAAATTATCATTTTCATCAAGAGGCAATGAAACCTGAAGAGGTGTCAAGAAATTTGCATCTCTTGTTTTACTCAAATTTGTATGATAAATTCACATACTGAGACATGAAAGGCTGATGAAAAACTACCAGCTTGGAATGAAATGATTACACAGATACCAGAATCTGCAAAGGAACTGTATATCAACAACAACCTTTGAGCAATGAAAGAGACAGAAAGCCAGTTGACTGTAGACTGACAAAAGCAATTGAAAGCTCATCGTTTTCTCAATCTCAGAAACCAATGCTGGAGAAAAGCTTAGAAAAACCACCATTCATGAAAAAGTCAGATGGTCTGCAAGCTTTACCACTCCTGAAGAAATAAGACGCCAACAGGACTTTGATTCCACTCTTGCAGCTCAGGTACGCCTGAAAATTTTAAAATGCAAACCTTCCTGTCTACAAACGCACCTTTGTTCTCCTTCCTTCCTCTTCTTAAGCTTATTACCTATGTCTGCATTTAAATATCCCTTTTTATTCAATACATAGGTCATAAAATTCCACTCTTGTTCACTCGAGTGTATTTTGGAGTCATCTCTCCTTCATTTTTGATCTGGTTAACTAAGTTTAATGGAAGCTTGATAGCTTTATGCAAAAAAAATTAGTTGCAACCAGCCAGGAGGGATTTAACAAAACAGGGAAGCCAATCACCCCTCCTCACCTGGTCGGGTTTAGCAGGAAAAATGTGGCCTGGAGACAGGCTTCAAAGAAACAACTACCTGTATGCAGGGATAGTAGGAACTGCCGATGCTGAAGAATCTGAGACAACAAGGTGTAGAGCTGGATGAACATAACAGGCCAAGTAGAATCAGAGGAGCAGGAAAGCTGACGTTTCCAGTCTAGACCCTTCAGAAGGGTCTAGACCCGAAACGTCAGCTCTCCTGCTCCTCTGATGCAGCTTGGCCTGCTGTGTTCATCCAGCTCTACACCTTGTTACCTGTATGCAGGGTTTTGTTTGCTGGGGAGGAGGTAAGAGCTAATATACTGAAAATTCACTGTCCCTTTTCTGCTAAACCTTTACAGAAGGAACTGTATTTACTTACAGAATCTTTCAGAAATGTGTTCACTGGCCCATAGCGAGGGAAAAACTGAATGTAGTCCCTCATATGAAAAGATTGAAGACCCTTGTTTTAGGTTGACTAGGTTCCAGATAATGGTAGAAGTTGGTCAGTGCAAGGAGACTTGAAGTTGCAGGACCATCAGCATTGACCTACTTTGACCACTAGATGGAGCCTAGAAGTTCAGTGCAAGTTCAGAACAGGAGTTAAGAGCAAGGAGAAGGGAGCAGCTGAAGAAGACCCCAGGTACTAAGGTAAAGACAGAGTCTGGGAGATGAGGACAATGGAGGGGGCAAGCAAAAATCATTGAGGGAAAGGTCCTGTGCACATACAGGATACAGAGGTGCAACTCTGTAGCAAAAACGACAAAATGAAACTGGCAACATTAAATAGATTAAATAGATATCTTTTCTGAAGAAGGGTCTAGGCCCGAACGTCAGCCTTCCTGCTCCTCTGATGCTGCTTGGCCTGCTGTGTTCATCCAGCTCTACACCTTGTTATCTTAAAAAGATATATTGTCATTACTGTATTTACAATATTAAAGGTAAACAATGCTAAGTAAAACTATGTTAAATGGACACTAACTGTACTGCAGCCTCCGATGAAGCATTGTGTTTTCCCGCCTGGTTTTTAAACTCTGGAGTCCGGTGAGCTGGATTGCCTCACTTGCGGTTTTCCTTCGTAGTGGAGTGTGTACGGGGTTGAGTTCTATGTGTTTATTAATGGCTTTCTTCATGGAGTGCCAGGCTTCTAGGAATTCCCGTGCCTGTCTCTGCTTAGCTTGTCCCAGGATTTTGGTGTTGTCCCAGTTGAATTGGTGGTTCTCCTTGTCCATGTGGATTGAGATGAGTGAGTATTCATCGTGTCTTTTTGTAGCCAGTTGGTGTTCATGCACCCTTGTTGTTAGTTTCCTTCCCGTTTGTCCGATGTAGTGTTTCTCACAGTCTCTGCAGGGGATCTTATAGATGACATTGGTCCTGTCCATGGCGGGGAGTCTTTAGTTCGGGTGAGCAGTTGTCATAGGGTTGATGTGGACTTGTGTGCCACTCCAATGCCCAGCGGTCGTAGGAGTCTAGTGGTTAGTTCCAATGTGTTCCTGATTTAAGGTAGTGTGATGAATGTGTCAGGGCGTGTAGTATCTTCCTGATGTTGTTCGTGTAGGCATCTTCTGGCCCAGTTTTTCGGATATCCATTATCAATACTTGAAAACTTGGAAGAGGTATTCTTCTTCTTCTTGGCATAGTTCTGTGTTGCTGCAGTGTGTTGTGGCCCGTTTAAATAGCGTTTGCACGCAGCTTCATTTGTGTGTGTTGGGATGGTTACTGGTGAAGTTCAGTACCTGGACTGCGTGAGTGTGGATTTTCTGTGTACTTTTGTTTAGAGTTCCCCATTTGTCTTGCGCTCTACCATGACGTCCAGGAATGGGAGCTGTTTGTTCTTCTCCTCCTCTCTGGTGAATTTTATTCCGGTGAGGGTGTTGTTTATGAGTTTGTGTGTCTCCTCTAGTTTGGTCCGTTTAATGATGACAAAGGTGTCGTCCACGTAGCGTATCCAGTGTTTTGGTTGGATTAGTCGAAGGGCCGTCCTTTCTAGTCTTTGCATCACTGCCTCTGCTATGAGTCCGGAGA